TTGTCTCGAATGTTGAGATTTGGTTCTTTCTATGTTATTACCTTTCCCTATACTTCTTCCTTTGCATTAAAGATTCAACATAATAGAAATGCTTTCACATGATTCTTGCCTTTAGATGTCCTCACTCAAGATCAAATCATAATATTTATTGAGCTTCAGCTTTGTAGACCCCATGAACTATTGACCACTGTCATAGCTGCAATCATCTCTTTGGTGGTGATGATAAGTTCAATATATAAAGTTCACTATTGAAGTTGATATCAGTTGAGATCAACTAATTTGTAATCAGATTGAACTCATTGATATGCGCCTCTATAGAAGTGCTATCAACCATTTTTGAGATAAAAAAAACTTTCTCATCAGATATACCTGTTATTTGATGAAGGCAACCGTCTTAAAAAATGTTAGGCAAACAACTCTTAATGCCCATCTGTTTATTAGATTTTTGTCTTCTTGACTCTTGGTAGTGGGGCTTCTTCTCCATGAGAAGATTTTATTTCTTCTAATACTAGTAGTCCTTGATCCAAATCATTCCTCCTTTTGATCTCACTTGTTTTTTACGTTTAGTTTTCTCTCTTTAAAACCCTTTTTCTTCTTTGCTTCTCCAACAAATGCATAAATAATCCAAATCATATGAAACACCAAGAAATCTGCTTCATCACCTTAGCCTTTTCCTTCCTTTCCTTTCTATCATTATGTTCACTACTCGTCAATTGTAACAATACTTGCAGCCAAACCTTCCAAATGGACACACTCGGATCATTAATTCACAACACGGATTGCACCAAAACACATTTGTAGCCATTGTGTAGTTGACCACGCTTCGACTAACTCATTAAAATCTACTTCCTAAGCTTTCCTTCCAAGCTTCACCTATTGATCTTGATCATGTTATCGCCCAACTCCTTTACCAGTGTTGACACTAGATTGTAATAAATTTTCTTTTGGTCATAAGTTGAAACCCGCCATCCACCACAATCATATTTCTCTTTGGTTTGCATTCCAAAGGACACATTGTCTGACAATCCATGACTCTTCTAGCTGAGAAGATGCCATCCACCACACTTGTTGGCCACTCATTGTTATAGCTTGCCCACCATGTTTCACCCAGTGGTCTTGATCATGTTTTATTGCCTCAAACCATATGAAACTGGATCATCCACCACAACAAGCTTTCATGTTAGGCTGTACTCTGAAGGGCAAGTGCCTCCTTCATCGACTCCTTGTGAATCTGAAAAGAACACCATTAGCTCTAGACATCACTCATTGCACTTTTCACTCACCTCTCGGAACATAAGTGAAAATTGTTTTTGCTATCTTCCACAATACGTAGCTGTGAGGTACCATTAAACTGTGAGGTACCATTAAACCATGCCCTCATCTCCTTCTAATAAGCATCATTAGATGGTATGTATGAATTAGCTTAAGTTTGAATTTGATTTTTTGGTAATTATTTTTCACTCCAAATGTAAACAACTACTTTAACACTATCTCTTCTAAACCTTTTTAAAGAATTTAGGAATATTTTTTGTTGACCTTTTTAAAGAATTTAAGAGAAGCATAATGCTAAGTTAAGTGTTGCAGAGATGAGGATGCTTAGGTGGATGAGTGGCTTGACTCTTAGAGATAGGATACGAAATGAGCATATACGTGAAAAGGTTGGAGTAGCTCTAGTGGAAGATAAGATTAGAGAGAGTCGCCTTAGATGGTTTGGTCACATTAAACGGAGGCCTTCCGATGACCCGGTTAGGAAAGTTGAGGTATTAGATTCGACTTATGCTAAGAAAGGTAGAGGTAGGCCTAAAAAGACTTGGTTTGAAAATATTAGAAATAATATTTCTTAATAAGATTTAAATGAGAATTTGACTTTTAACCGAACACATTGGCGAAAAAGGATTCATGTAACCGACCCCACATAGTCGGACAAAGGCTTGATGTTGTTTTTGTTGACTTTTTAATCAAACTGTTTGTAGGAATTATGCCCTACATCTAACAACTTGTGAACTTAGGAGGATCCCATTGCATGTTTAGAGTTTAGGGTAAAGGATGGCAATCAATTTTTTTGCGCAAGGCATTAAGTCAATTAAAAGTTTTAATTAATATTTCTACAATTTCTAGTTTAAGGGGGCCTCTTTGGGAAGTGATTAGAGTTGAGTTTTGGAGGTGAGTTTCGATGACCTTTGTTTATTTTTCCAAAACTCACGTTTTATGAAATCAATATTGTGTTTGTTTGGATTGTGGTGAATTTCATTTTTACCTGTTTCCATTTTAAGTTTTGTTGCGTCCTGGAGTATTCGCGGCGGTAGAGAAATATAAAGTTTAATGTATTAGCATTGTACGAAGATCCAGCACACACACAGATAAAAAGAGAGGGTGTAGCGTTCATAAGAACACCAGAGTTTTTATGTGGAAACCCCTGAAAAGGGGGAAAAATCACGGAGCCTGGCCCAGTTTGAATGAATCCACTAGTATTTGCAGTCGATTACAAATGAGGCCCTTCTTAGGGAGAAGGCATTGGCTTCATGATACAAATATACATCATATAGAGCGCATTACATAGTGGGAGTTACAATAATCAACATAGATGTGTTTGTTTGGTCAGCACGACCATAGTCGATAGGATATAGGTCGAAAAGACCGTAGTTGGTAAGAGACTGGGATTAGAAAGATCGTTGTCTGTTGATGGAGGTCGGAAGGGCCATAGTAGGCAACAGAGGTCTGAAGGAACTTAGTCGGCAGTAGACTGGGTCTGAAAGATCGTAGTCAGCAGTAGACTGGGTCTGAAAGACCGTTGTCTAGTGATGGAGGTCGGAAGGACCGTAGTAGGCGACGAAGGTCTGAAGGACCATAGTCGGCAGAAGACTGGGGTCTGAAAAACCGTTGCCTAGTGATGGAGGTCGGAATGAACATAGTAGGCGAAGAAGGTCTGAATGACCGTAGTCAGCAGGAGATTGGGGTCTGAAAGACCGTTGTCTGGTGATGGAGGTCAGAAGGATCATAGTAGGCGATGAAGGTCTGAAGGACCGTAGTTCTGCCGGGGGTCTGAAAGACCGTTGTCTGCAGGACCATAGTCGGCAGGAGACTGGGGTCTGAAAGACCGTTGTCTGGTGATGGAGGTCGGAAGGACC